GAATAAGAACCATGATATGAAATTGTCGGTGCGGGGTGATGCTACATCTTGTAGTAGGCACCGAGTCGAGTTTGGCCAATTCTTATATTCTCAACCTTATGTATATTATTGTCTTCTATGGCAATGAAGGAGTTGGATGAGGCTATCATAAGAAAAAAGAATTATCTTTGTGTTTGGATATAGATCTCAGAGCCGGTCCTGGGTTTAGGTGGGCCACAAGCTAACAAAAATTTTGGGTTGGGTTTAAAGGAAAAACAAAAAAAATAGAAGTGCAATCATCAAGAATCGAACCTTGCACCTGTATTCCAAAAAATTCATAACCAGACCACAACGCTACATTGAAATATTGTCAACTTTTACGGCCAATAAATATATAATTAATTATGGGCCGCAAGCAAAAACTTAGTCCGCTTGCCCTCAGGACCGGGCCTGATCGATATTAATGTTGAGAATCCCGAGTGCCCATGTGGAATGAATGAGGAGCTAGCCGAAGAAGAGAAAATGTGAAAATATTTAGAATTTCATTTCTGTTGAAACAATGGAAAGTAAAAATGGTAAACCTACAGCAATGGTACAAAAACTAATATCTTCTTCTCCTCCTACATCTTGGGATGTATTTCTTCTTTGGTTGCCTACAGCAACGGCAGATAAAGATGTATCCCTTACACTACTACAAGGTTGGCAAGCTTTTATTTATGAAATTTGCATGGTTTGAAAGAAATCAACGCTATCATTCTGGTCTTTTAGTGGCTCTATCAAGGATCTTCCACAAGGTCTTATTAGTGATCAAGAACAAGGCTCAAAATCTTTGTCAGCAGTTCCCTAACAGAACCTCACTACTTCCACTATAGGAAAGCCCATCAAACTTTCTGTTCCAACCACCATGATCTAAAGGCTGTCATACTCCATCATCAAACAAATATGGTCGTGGTTTATTGGAAATCATTCTTCTCTTTCTCTCCTTTTATTCCCTATCTTATTTGATCAAGTGTTGGTGGTCACTTATTGTAATAGATGAGACATGATATAAACTTTAAAATATATTCAAGTAAATCTTTTAACAAAATAAAAATAAAAATAAAAATGGTAAACCGATACAAAACTGAAGTAGAGAATTTGTGTACCACTTTTCAAATCCGGAGTCCACTATGAAACAATGAATATATCTGATGTTAAAATGGGCTCAAAATTAGCAGGCTTAATCGGGCATGTTTAATAAAGATGAGTCCGTTTAGATCAGATTATAAGGTTTGTGTTAACGGGTTTAAAGGGCATGCCTGTTAGGGCCGTTTATTAAACGGGTTTTGATGCAGTTAAACGGCTTGTCTGCTTAGGCCC